TGAAACGCCGCTTGGGATCAAGGGCTTTGGGTTCAGGATTTAGGGCAAGGAATTCTGCAGCCGATCCCCATGTGGGATACCGCGGGCATTCTAGGGCTCGCAACGTGCATTCCTATCATTGCGGAGATTCCGAATCAAACGTTTCTTCAATAGATTGATGTTTATAGTCGCCTTGATGTTCATGTTCATATTCATTGGAGTCGTATCAGTATGGATCTTGATGTTAGCGCCAGACTCGTATCCGCATGAATATTGGCACAAACCCTCCTCCCTAGAAACTCTACCACTACAACTAAAACCCTAAACCCTAAACCCTTTGGGCTCAGGGTTTGGGATTTGAGCCCTGCCCCGGCGCTGCTTGCGGCTGCAACCCCGCTTGCAGCCCGCCGGTTTAAGGCTATCTTTTTAAGGGTTTAGGGTATTTTTGCCTAGGGTTTAGGGTTTAGGGCTTAGGGTATAGAGTTTAGGGTTTAGGGTTATTTTTTTAAGGGCTCTCTTCGTCTGCACGGAGTCTTGACTGCGTCTTCAGAATTGGGGTTTAGGGTTTCGCACTGGGCTCCAAAATCAGTTCATTCAGCAATTACCCTTTTCTGGGCGCTAGAAGTTCAAGCATGTAATAACTTGGTTCAACTCTATTCTCAAAGTCTGCTGGCATCTTAACGCCCAGCCCATATCCTCAGAATCATCCGCAAAAATATTGCTGGCGGCTTCTGACTGTTAGTTGCTTCTGCAGGCCCCTTTACTTGATACCACGCAAGCTTAAATTCAAACGCCATATGTAGAAGTATTATGTTCAAGCTTATGAAACCCTCGAAAGTCCAATAGAACCCCAATGGAAACTTGTAAACTGTACAAGGCCTTCATTCAACACCAGAAAGAACAAAACCGTATACTCCGAAGCCCTATAACTGGGCCCTTGAGAACTAGAATTTTGGGGCCCATTCTCGTCGAGTTGTCTTTGAGGTTTGTAACTGACTCTCATAATTAGGGTTTTGGTATACCTAAAGGAGTCTAAGTGGCTCTCATAATTAGGGCTCTAGGGCTCTATTCAGCTATTAGGCATGATAACGGGCGCTCAAACCAACCTAAACCCTAAGCGCTAAACCCTAAGCCCTCAAACCCTAAACCCTAAAAGCCCTAAACCCTACACCCTCACAAGCCTAAAAACCCTAAACTCTCGAAACCTAAAACCCTAAAAACCCTAAACCCGAGCCCCGTCCCATGGGTTCCCCCACGAACTCTCCATGACCTGAAAAGGAGACGATCGGGTTCCTTCGGGAGGGTTTAGGGTTTAGGGTTTGGGGTTTGGGGTTTAGGGTTTAGGGGCTGTTCTGGGCTTGGGGGGTTTCGAGCTTAAGGTTTTAGGGTGTCGGGATTCAGCCTTTGGGGCTCAGGGCAGCTTTTAAGTGGCTACATGTGGCCGCTATCATACCAATGAGGGTGACTATTCTTTGCTGACTTCCTCCAGAAAGTTGAACTTTTAGTCTCCTTATTACAGTTCATATAGAAACCCAAAAAGTTAAAGTCCTAAGAGCCAACCAGAAGAACACCAAAATTAGAGGGGTTCTTGAGTTTAAGGCTTTGGGCTTAGGGTTTAGGGTTTGGGGTTTAGGGTTTAGGGTTTAGGACTTAGGAGCTTAAGCTTGCAAGCTTGGTTCCTCTTGGGTGTAATGGCTTTCAGGGTTTAGGGTTTAGGGTTTACGGGTTTAGGGTTTAGGGTTTAGGGTTTAGGGTTCCCTCTCTTTCTGGCCGAGTATGGATGTCAGGAAACCCCCCGGAGAACCCAATACCCCGTAATTGAGGAATATACCTTAACTCATAATATGAAGGCCCCATAATTTAAGGTATATTCCTTATTTAAGGGTATTGGGTTCTCTGGGAGACCCTGCTATTTTCAGGCCAAGTCACTCTCAGCCCCACGAGGCTTTCGAGAACTTTCGGGCCCGCTTACCACTCTTTAGGGTTTGAGGGTTTAGGGTTTAGGGTTTAGGGTTTGAGGGTTTGAGGGTTTACGTTAGGGCTTAGGATTTAGGACTCCCAAAGCCCATTCATCAAGCAGCAGATCTTAATGTTTTAAGGGCCCCACTATATGATTAATAGTGTATGCCTTAATTGAGCCATTGAACCTGCGAAAGAAAATAATTAGCGGAACCCTCCGCAGCTTTGTTTGACCTCTTCTCAGAGGGTTGAAGGTGTAGAGTCTAGATGTTTAGGGCCTTTGGGTTTGGAGTTTAGGGCTTTGCGATCTACGTTAGAGTCTTCGAGCTTCCCAGCAACCTGAACCGCAAACGCAAACCCCAGACCCGGAGCCTATGCCCAACGATGTTTTAAAGTGCAATGGGCCCCTTGGTTTAGGGTTCAAGGGAACCCTTCGAACCATAAACTCTGACCTCATCCATTGCAGAGCCAACTTGGCACACAAAAGACCCTCCCCAAAGCTTCCAGTTCGAGGAAATCTACTCCCCACGACCCTCATCGTCAAGCCCGAAGCCCTTTACATTTGAAGGTTTTGTGTTTTCGGAGTTTAGAGCTCAAGCTCCTAAATCCTGAACCCAACCTTCATGAGAGCGCGACGCCCTAAACCACAAACCCTTGACCAACCTTGAAGAGAACATGACACCCTAAACCCTTTTGAACGAGATCCTTCTGAAGTGCCTCCAAGTCCTAAACCCTATACCCTAAACCAAAAGCGCTAAGCCCTAAACGCTAAACCCTAAACCCTAAACCCAAAGCCCTGAACCCTAAACCCTAAACCCCCTAAAAAGCCCTAAACCCCTAAACCTCCGATCTGGACTGGAGGCTCGAGCTGCCCCGACTGATGGTTGATGACCAGCAGGTCGTCGGGAATGTACCTCAATATACCGCAAAAAACTATAAGTATACTACAAGTATACTATAATATACTATAATAGACTATACTATACTATATGAAATGGCATAGTCTAGTGTCTCTAGAACCTCAGCATACTATGTGAAGTTTCATAGTCTACTAGAACCTCACCCGTTCTCTACGCTTTAAGGCCTTCAAGGGGTTTCGAGCTTTACCTTAACTCCCAATAACCTGCATTTTAAAGAACTCCGTTCCTGTCCAAGACCCGGAGGGCCCAATACCCCTTAGGTAAGGAATACCTTAAGAACCCAAAATCCACTTTTCTGTAGGTTCTTATTATAAACCCTAATGTGGGATTTATAAGGACCCTACAAAAAAGTAGGTTTTGGGTTCTTAAGGTAGACCTTAAAACATAATATGAGGGCCCTTATAATTGAAAGTCTATTCCTGATTTAAAGGTGTCTGGGGTTCCCTGGGGAACTCCATGCTCTTGGGCCTTTAGGGTGCTTTAAGCTCTGTCTCAGCCCCTGCCCCCCCCAAAAAAACAACTACCCTTTCAAGGAACCATAGAAGGAAATCATAATGAACAAGCCCTACACGTTTTGGCTTCAGTTTCTTCGGGTCCACGTGCTTGAAGGGCCTAAAAAATTGCTTTATCCTGGGGGCCTGATTGATTGGAATAGGGTTTTGGGGTATAAACTACAATAGTTAGAAACAGGAACCCCCACAAAATAGTATTGGTAATTATATAGGCTCCCATATTAAATATCTGCCAAAAAACCTGTTTTTCAGGGCTCCTTACTACAAATTTACCTTTAGACTGCAATGTACACCCAAGCCCCGCTCTGATTATCAAGGCCAATATACTAAAGCCCTATACAACAAGGCATAGGGTTAAGGGTTTAGGGCTTTTCTCCCACCCGCTTCGCGGACTAGGTTTAGGGCTTATGGTTTAGGGGTTAGGGTTTAGGGCCCATAAACCCCCTTTTTCGAAGACCCTGATAGATACCCTCGGAGGAAGCCTGTTCTAAGCATCAAGGACCCTGGACGAAGCGCCCAGAGCAGCCCTTACAATAACTGATAGGCCCCTGTACAAAGAACCCTCTCAAGGAGTTCTGCTCTGATTCTTAAGGGCCGCTAAACCCTAAACCCTAAACCCTCAAGCCCAGGATAAATAGAAATTGTTGGTTCGAATAAACGTGCATGGCCATCTAGATTGCTGCATCATTGCTTTGCTCTCAAGTTTTGACGGGCAGAACAGAAGCGCAGAAGCGAAAGTTCCATGAACAAATGTGTTTCCGCAGCCCTACACCCTAAACCCTAAACCCTAAACCCTAGACCCAAACCCTAAACCCAAACCCTAAACCCAAAACCCTAGACCCAACAAAGAGCCGGCCAAGAGACCCCCGACCTGAACCCTCTACACCTTCAATTTCAGTTCGAAGTTCGAAACACAAAGGGGCAAAGTCTCTAAGGGCAGAAGACTGTTAGACGATAAAGCAACAAGCAAAACCCGCCCAAAAGCCGCGCAAAACGCAGGACCTGAACCCTAAAACCCTAAACCCTAAACCCTAAACCCCTAAACCCTAAACAAGTTCTAAAGAAACTGTGTTTTTTAAGGTGTCGGATAGGTCGGGTCCAGGGAGCCCTCCGATGATCCGGGGCCATGACATCACCAAGTCCCGCTGCTTCGGGTCCCTTTTCTGGTGGAGCTTCACCTGTTTCGGGTTCAGGGTTTAGGGTTTCAGGATACGGATTAAAGTTTAGGGTTCAGGGTTTAGGGTTAGGGTTTAGGGTTTAGGGTCCAGGGGCTTTGGCGTTAGGGTTTTGGGTTTAGGGTTTAGGGTTTCGGGTTCTTTTTCCCTCCCACTTAGCAAGGACGAGCGCGCATTGCAGGGTTTAGGGTTTCGGGTTTTTGGGTTCGGGGTTCAGGGTTTCGGGTTTAGGGTTTACGGTTTCGGGTTTAGGGTTTCTGGTTAGGGTTTAGGGTTTTGGGTTTAGGGTTCAGGGGCTTAGG